CTGCACCCCGCTGCTGACGATTACTTCTGCTTTCAGCCCAGTTTTTCCCCATCCCGCACTGGTTCGTGCCCAAAGGGATCTGAGCAACGTGTGCTCGTGGAGTTGAAGCCTTCCTGCGGTGCCCGTGCAGCCAGCCGTCTGTCAGCCCTGGCGGGAGCTGGGTGGAATATCTGGAGCATCCCGAAACCGGGCACCCGGGCAGAGGCCATCGCAGGTGACGCTAACGCTGCAAGAAGGGTTTTACCCCAAAATGAAAGACAGGTGTAGGGATGGAGCAACAGAAAAAAATTGCAGTACTTAAACTGAACGCAGCTGAGCACCTGCACTATGTTTTGCATCTTTGTACACCGATGTGCAGCACCCAGCGGGCTTTTTATCCCGATGAAAGGCAGCGGCTGGCGGCGGTTTTTCGGCTGCCGCAGGGAGCTGCTGTCCTGGTGCAGGAGCGAGGGGGACGGGAAGCAGGGAGCAGGCACGCGGCTCGCACGCTGCAACCCTGCCTGGTTCTGCAATCCTTAAAATCCTGGTTTGTAGCAAAACCTCCTGTTTCTCTCACGTTGCCCTTGGTCTGGCTGCCCTTGCTTTGTTCCTTGCTGCTGCAAAAACTAAACTGGTTCTGTTGGTGACTTCACGCTGGGCTGTCTTGGAGAGACCCGTCCTCGCCTTCAGCTGTTTGGCTCGGATAAACCCCATGGCCTCCACGAAGCGGAAGATCTTCTCACGAGATCTTCTCTGCCTGGGTCAGGGCAGGAGTTTCTACGGGCCACGGATCGCGTTGCAGGGTCAGGTCAGCGCATGGCTCCGATGGTGGCCCAGGGAAGGTGGTGGGAGCCAAGCAGCTCCTCCACCGTGCCACCACTCCGGAACGCGACAGAGGTCCTGCTGCTGCGCGTACGTGAGTGGGGACGTTGCTTGAGAAACCCCAAGTTCCAGGAAAATTTCTTTCCCCTTCCTTCTTTCCCATGTGATGAAAGCATTACGCAGGCTGCCGTGAGCGAGCTCTCAGCTTGAAGTAAAGTTCTGCAGAGGAGCAGCAGTGGGTTCTGGTCCTGCTCGGGTGACCGAACACAAAACCGTGAGCAGAGCAGGAGCTCACACTGCGGCTTGAGCCCGGGCAGCGCTGCCCCGCGGGAGCTTGAGCGGCCGGAGCTTGGCAAGAGGAGCACTCGCACGGCTGCACCAGCGCTACGGGAGATAGCAGTGCCGTGGGAGATGCTTCGTGGTCACCCTCGATACCTGGGTGTTCGCTTGCAAGTGGGTGCTGCGCAGGTGTTTGGGGGAACTGCAGACGTGGTTCACTCATGGAGCTGATTTGCAAAGAGTTTTATGGCTCTAAATAATGTATGCTAAGTTTATCATGCCCTCCTTGTAACACGAACAATAATACGGGTGTTTGGAGGATGTTTATATATGCATGTATACGCATGTGTTGGTAAAGAATATTTATTTCCTTGTCTGATCTCTCCTGTCCTGTTGCTTGAATGGCTTAAAACTGCTTTTTATTCTACGGTTACCTAAAATCCCCAGGGAAGCTGGCACAGACTCAGTTGCAGGGCGTGAGCTGGCAGGAGAGGTGGGCAATGGTGTCCCCGAGGGACCGGGGCTTTACCCTCCTGGGTGACGTCGTGCTCTGGGTACGAAGGCTGGAGCAGCTGGCGGTGTAGTGCAACCATGAGAGCGTAAAGATACACAGCTCCTTGTGCCTTTAGTTAACTATGGGGTGGGTTTTTTTCCAAGTTTCTTTTTGCATATGAAATAGTGGCTTTGCAGCAGTGGGCACTGAAGTCAGTTTTAAATGCTGTCTTAAATCTATGGCTGATTTATTAGAAACAGGCACTTTAAAATAGTTTTCAGCTGTCACTTTGTTTCTGCAGGCTTGAAGTGCTTTCTTAATTTGATTTTTTTTTTGGTGTGACTTTGGACGAGGGGGAAGTCCCCATTCCTACCGTGGAGGAGACAGTGATGAGCTCCTCCGGCAGCACAAAATCCTTCTGAGATAGTTTGAAATACATTTGGAAAGATACCTTCAAACTGTGTCTCTTCGTAGAGTTTTTGGTGAATGCCAGGACCATTTTTTTTGCTTCCCATCTGCTACCGTGTTCCACCCCTCACCACCTGCGCCCCAGTCCCTTCCCGCGCCCGTCACCCTCACCCCGCCTGTGTTGGGTTACGAGCCCCCCTCCATCCCTCCTCTTGGGATGCAGCAGTTGAGGATTTGCTCATCCCCTTCTCCTTAGGAGCACGGATTCTCTGCAGCCCTCTTGCTCCCACCGTACCGATGGTCTTTTCCGTGACCAGTTTTAGCAGGGAGACCTTTTGACACGTGACTTTTCCTTGTTTCTCCGCAGGCAGCTGGTGACCGAGGGCTCTCCCGCCTGGCTGCCCATCGCTGCCCGCTCCTGCCTCACGATGGCAACTCCGGACGTCAGCGTTCACATGGAGGAGGTGGTGGTGGTGACGACGCCTGATGGCACAGTGGATGGAGGCGGCGTGGAGGAGGTGAAGACGGTGCTGGTCACCACCAACCTGTCCCAGCACAGGTAAGAGATGGGGTCAGCATACAAGTGACGTGCTGGAAAATCTCCTACCCGCGGTTGTAGTCAGCTGGGCTGGGTGTATTTAATCACCTACTACTTACTCCTGTGCCACTTCTCGCAGTGGGGACCTCAGCGATGCCTGGGCAATCTCCAGTTCCTCGTTACGTCCTCGCTGATGCCCCTGGGGCTGTGCCCAGGGCTGTGGGCTCTGCAGCTCCGAGCTTAGAGAGCAGGCTCTGCTTTTTCTGTTAAAGATGAGTTGCCACTGGTGGGTTTAAGCTGGTCTTACCAGAATAAAAAGCAATGAGACAGCTTGTTTTGGATGGATGGAGGAAAATATCTTTTAAAAAAAACCCAAACCCAGCAAAAACCCCAAAACCAAACCATCTTTTCTGAGTGCATATAGGTGTTGGAAAGGACGGCCAATCCAGTTGGAACAGGACACTAGTAGATAAATCAATGTTTTTCTGCTATTTTTCATGATTGCTTCTCTGAGCTGCGTACCTCCAAGAGATGAGTCTGTCCGCATCGTGGTGAGCACGGTGCAGCAGGGCTCCCCTGCAAAGCTCCGCAGGAACCTCCGCTGCTGGCAACAGGAGTGAGAGCGCTGCCCTTGATGCCAAGCGGCATTGAATGGAGAGGAACTGCTCAAAAAAACCCAGAACAAATATGTCTGATTTTTGAAGTGCTGCTGTTTTGCCCAATTCTGCCTTTTTTGTTGGCGTTTCAGATCTGGGACTGCTGTTCGTTCAGGTCTGGTCTGTTCAGCTGTAGGTCGGTCAAGTCTTTGCTCCCGCGGCCAGAATGCCTGGCTGGTACCTTGAAGGCCCATGTAGCGATGGGCTCTTTGCTTTATTTCTCTACAGTCTTTCACGGGACGGCGCCCAGAGACATTCTAGTGCTTTGCTCTTTTGGTGGGCAGAGAATCCAAGTTCACGCCTGGAGCTGGATCCAGGCAGCTCTGATCCAGAAGTCCCTGCACTTGGTAAAAGGGTAGCGAGCAGCTGTTTATTGCTCCCCACAAAAAGGAGACATTTGTCTCCTTTCCTCAAATAAGCTCTGCCGTGTCTGTGTCGGTTCCTGTGGCTCGGGGCAGGGCACAGCTTTTACGTTACAGCGTGGCGCCATTCCCCTTGTTCTGCTGTATAAAACTCATTAACAAATGAACTTCTGGTAGGGGTCGGGCAGGGGCAGGCAGCAGCAAGAGCCGACAGCGTGGGGTGGGCAGAGGAGCTGGCCTGCTCCTCCTCTGCATCCCAGGTCTGTGAGTGCTTCCGAGAGTGATGGGTGATGGTGAGGAAGACAGACTCTGCTCCTCTTGTTTTCTGGCCCACAGTGACTTCCATAGCTCCCTTGGTGGAGAAGCAGCCAGATGTGAAACCTGGGATGTGGCAGCTCTTGGATGCAGAGTGGTTTCTGGTTTTAATGTGGTGTGCCACAGTGTTGTCCGGGAGCATGGATCATGGCAGAGGCTGGCTCAATCAGTTTGGCTTCCTTTTGCTCTTATTTCCTCTCCTGTTTTTCTCTGGAAATGCTTTTTTCATCCTCCTAGTGTCCCCTGGATGGTCAGGAGCAGGACAGCTCTGCACAGCAGAGAGCGGATGATTTTTATTTAGTCTCAGCTACAAGTGGAGCCCATCTTAGCAGGCATTAAGAGATTCCCTGAGGGTTTTCCATGCAGCTCTCTGGAGAAGGGCCAGCAGGCAGGCTCCTCGCTCCCCTGTGCTCCAGAGTTGACGGGAAGGACGTGGATCTCCAGCTCGTGGATCAAAACCCACCTGACTCCCGCTGCGCCGGCTGCTGGCGCTCCCCTCGCCGAGCAGGGCTGTGGGGCTGGTGCTGGGCGGCAGCACGAGCCACCCACGGTCTCTCCGTAGCCTTGGATGGTTGGCTCCGCTCTCCCGGGGAGATGCTGTAGCAGCACTGGCTCCATCTCCCTCTGTTTTCCCTTTGCAGCCCCAGCCAGCGTGAGGAAAGTGGCTGCAAGTGCGGGCTGGGATGCCTCGGCTTTGGCTCGGTCACCGCTCACACGGGGAACGGGCTTTGAATGGGCTTTCAACTTGTCTTATGTGGCGCTTAGAAACCGAACTCAGCTTGGGGGTCGATGCCTTTTTCTAGTGTTCCTTTGGGTATGGTTTTGCAGTTTAAAAAAAATAAATACAACCAATGGTTAATTAGTTCACGTGTTTTTAAGATTGACTGGAAAAGGCAGAGGGAAATGGGAAAATAGTAATAATCAGCAAGAAGCTTTTCTCTTTCATCTGTGATTGGAAGGGACCTGTACTCGATGCTCTGATGAGATGCCTGTGTTTCTGATCAGCATCCCCAGCGCAAGTTTCTGGTGGAGACTTTTTTTCTCTCTCAAGTTTCCAGGCGAGGCAGGAGCGGAGGAGAAAGGAGACACGAGCCCGCTGCTTTATCAGCACGCACTTTCTTCTCTTCCTCCCATCTGGTTTATGGATCCTCCCGGGGAGGAAGATGAGAGCCATCCTCCCCCGGCTTCGTCATGGCAACCGGCGAAGGCAGGACCGGTTTGGTGGGATGCGCGCTGGGGCTTGGTTTGAGTTTTCTCCTGCATCTGCCTTGGTCTGTACCTCTGGAATGGGATGGGGGAAGCAGTGTGGAGAAACTCACCTTTTTTTGCGGTTTTCTCTTCCCCCTCCCCGCCCCCCTCCAGTCACAGACTTCAGTTGCTTGAATTTTTCATACAAGTTGTTGAAGTTGGTTGGTTTGTTTTTCTCTGGGGGATGAGGTGCAAGATGTGGGTTGGGTTATTTCTCCCAATCCAGTCATGCCTTTTGGTCATTTTTGGAGCGGTGTGAATGTGATGGAGTCCTGGAGGAAGTTCTGCTTCAGGTGCTGGCTTTCTGCTGGGGTGTTTCTTCTAGACAGGTCAGTGGAGGTGTTTGGTCTGTGGCAGGAGGAGGCGGGTCAGAGTCAGGGCTGTGGAGTGCCGGGCTCTGCACGGCAGAGATGGTTGCTGCCTCTTGCAGCCGGGGTGCCCTGCTGAAGTGTTGCTGGCTTTTCTCCAAACACCTCTGGAATAGTGCAAGAACCAACCAGCAAATGATGAAGATGAAGAAAAACCAAGTTACAATTCTTCCATTTCTCTTGTGTCAAGCTGCCACTTCTGTAATATTCTCCTGCATGCAAAGGCGTTAGCTCTTGAGTTTACCTTCTTGAGTCCTTTTGCGTTATCCATCACCTTTCCCTCCCAGGGCTCTGGGTTGTTAGTTGCTGCGAGCTGCAGAGGCAGTGTGACATCCCACAGTGCCTTTCTTCCCCAGCCGGGGCTGCCTTCAGCTCTCGCTTCTCTGCAGCAGCATCTCCCGAGTTACTCACCCGGGGAGGCTGAGCTGCCGCCCACGCTGGTTCCCTTATCTCCGTGCTGCTCCCCACCAGGACCTGCCCTGCAGCTGGCAAGGGGAGCGATGCTTTGAACTGCAGTTCCACCCCGGAGCTGTGTGTTAGGAGACCAGGATGGAAAAACCAGTTGCTCTTGAATTTGCTTGTCCCCGTGGCACTGCGGGTGGGAAACGTGGTTGCCGGTGAGTCACTCGGACCATTCTTTTCATTCACTGGTGATACCAAACTGGGGTAGATTTCAGGTGTATTTTCTCCTTACGGTCTTCCTTAGGAAGTTTTGATATTGAAGTACGTGAAAAGTTAACTGGGTCCCCTGCCCCTGCAGGACAAGCTTGCTACAGCAATTAGACATCTTCAGTAACAAAACCAAACACACATCTTAAAACCCATTAGGAATGGTTTGTGCTGAGAGCTGGCCGTGATGCATGGGTCGGGTCCGTAAGGGTACCAGCATGGGCTTCCTCCCTCGCACAGGACCCTCCCAGCCGAGGCGCTGAGGAGTGTGTCCTGTATCACAGCCATAAATGCCTTTCCCATCTGAGTGTGCTCCAAAGCTTGTTAGAGGGGCTTGGGGCTCCACGCCGCTGAGAGAGCTGGAACGGGCGAACAGTGAGGGTGCAGACGCTGTGCGGGACCAGCTGTGCGTCTCTATCGGCAAAGCACCGAGAGAAGCTGGAGATCTCCGGGGTGGGAGGATGAAAGCAGTCGGATAGCCAGCTGTTAGTTAATGGGTATATTGAGTTGTAAGAGGCTCAGAGATTGGATTGCAAGGGTCTATAGCTCGTGTTATTTTATCTCTGCTCACAGATCTGCTGTTAGGGTTTGTCGAACTCCTGATAGCATGTGCGTGGCTCCTTGAGATCCTGCTCCTGGGAGCATCCCATGTACTGGGGGATTCAGCCAGTCCATCGCTCAGACAGCGGCAGCAAGTTTCACACACATGTTTTTCCTGGGGAATTCTTCTTGGGCAAAGCTGCCAGAGGCTGGCAGCGACTTCTAAGCAAGGGGCCGTGCTGACAGCATCCCTCCACGCCAGCTCCCCAGCACGGGCTGTGCTGGAGGCAGCTCCATGGGGCTGGGATTAAAAGGGAGGCGAGGCAGAGCCAGCCGGGCTGCTGGCAGCGGTCCTGCCTGCCTGCTGCAGGGCTCTTCATGTCCGTACGGGAAAATGGAACTGAGCCTCTCAAAACCAGAGCCGACTTGTAGCTCTTGTGGGAAAATGTAGTCCGAATGACTTTTGAAGCAATGTCTCCATGGGGCACCGGGTGTGGGGGTGGCACATCGACGTGGCTTAACTCTACTTCTCTGACTCTCTTACCAGCGGTGACATAAACGAAGACACACTGGAGACCGAAAATGCAGCTGCTGCGGCTGCTGCTGCCTTTACAGCCTCCACGCATCTGAAGGAAGCAGTCCTAGGTAGGTTCAGCCCGTGCTGTAGCCCCTAGTTGTGCCGTGCCAGCTCCACCGCTCCAGCGTGGCACAACCCTGCACTGGTGCTGGCTGAGAGGGTCCGGCCACCACTGTGCAGGGCTGCCGGCTGGCCCTGGGGATGCTCTCCCCAGCGTCTGGGGATGCTCTCCTTGGGGGGCTCAGGGATGCTCCCCCCAGCATCCAGGGGAGCCTGGGGAGCTGCAGGGACTGGGTGAGGGGAAGGGAGCTGGTGGCTGCTGGCTGGGCTGCTGCTGCCCTCTCCTGGTGCAGGATGAGACCCTGTGTCTGGCTGTCGCTGGCTCCTGGCTTCCAGCTTGCGGTGGGGATGTCAGTTTTGCAAACTCACCGGCTTTGGTTACAAGCAAGAGTGAATTGAGTAAGCAAAGACTGTGACCAGCTGGGCTGGAGTTGACTTTAAAACAGTTTTATTCTAAAAACAAGGGTGACTTTTTAATTACCCAAAGAACATAATTCCTTTCATTTTTATCAAGAATTGAATTTTTTCATCCCTGGCCACTGTTGTCTCAGATTTCACGTACTCAGCTGCAGCCGGGTCAGTATAAATCTGCCTGTGCTGTTTTGCATGAAAAATTTGGGTGGTCAGATGCTTTAGTAGCAAAGCACAAGTGAGCGGTGGCCACAAACCCCAACACACCTGAACATGCCTCATCTGTTCTTTTGGTTTTGGTTTTTGTTTTGTTTTGTTTTTTTTTAATCCTGAGCTTCAAAGCTACTTTATCACTGTATGTGTGCCTCAGGGTGGTGAATCAGGGACTGCGACTCACGTTTCTTTTTGATCTGTCCCTTCCTCTGTTCCCTGTGAGAAGTGAAGATGGCTGAAGATGAGGACAGTTTGGAGGCAGAGATTGTCTACCCCATCACCTGCGGGGACAGCAAAGCCAACCTCATCTGGAGAAAGTTCGTGTGCCCTGGGATCAACGTGAAGTGTGTGCAGGTGAGAATAAAGGGCTCCAATGCTGGACTTGTGCCTTCCCATGCCCGTGTTGCAGGCTCACCTGGCTTGTCCTGGTTTTGCTGAGCTTTGGTAAGCTGCTTTGCATCAGAACCGTAGTCGAAGAGGAGGAAATTCTTGGTATTGTGGTACCTGATGTTTGCCTTCTCGGTCAAGTTGAGCAGTCCTGGCTGGAGAGATGCTGCCTCAATTTAACTGCGTTGCTGGAGAGTCTGAGAAATTTGAGCACTTCAGTGTCTGCTCAGTTTGAGAGAGAGTTGAGAAGGTATTAGTAAGGGACCTATCGAATAGGTTGAATGGGTAAAATTTGCATGAATTTGGGGAGCAGGGCCAAACTTTCATTTCCAGGACCATACTGTGTGCAATGGTGTAGTAAGTCATTGCTGGCATTTACGCAGAGACTAAACGATACCCTGCTGAGGAGTAGCTCTGGGCTCTGTTGCAAGAGGGCTTTCCAGAGGATGGTCCTTGCCCTTTGTAGGAGAGATGGACTGCTGCAGATAATGCTGCTGCTGCCTAAAATTGGTCTTCTCCTTGCACCGAAGCCCATGCGCTTGTTCAGAGAAGCAGCTTCTCGTGCAGTAATGGTGAGTGAGCTCTACATTGGTCAACATGGGCATTGGAAAGAGGAGACCTGGACTTGGGAAATGCTTTCTGAGATGGGCTGTAAAGCAGCTCTTTAGACGACTGCCTGATTCTGCAGGTTGCTTTTAGGTCAGGACATGGGTTGAGGCACAGCTGGGTGTGTAGGGCCATAAAAGAAGGGGGACGAGCTGGCTGCAGATAGTGCGTGCCAACTCCCTAACGCTGGTTTTCGGTAGAAGTGGGTGTGTGCTGTGAGAGAGGCCAGAGGTTTCACTGATACCGATGGTTGGGTTTGGTAGCAGGAGGTCAAAGACCAAACGCGCTTCTCCTTCCCTCACTTCTCCTTCCCTCGCTTGCGTGCGGCGTAGCATGTCCCTGGACCAAACATCACTGTGTGGGCAGCCTGGCTTTTGTCGTGAGTCTGCTCATTAGTGGGAGTGTGAGCAGCTCACTGCTGTTAATGACACTTTACACAAGCTACGGGTGTTTTTCCCATTGTCCTGCCTGGGTTGGGCAGTTAGCAAACTCCTTTGTGCTGCACACACACCCCAAACCCGTGGCTTAGAGGAGCTGTTAATTAACCATCCATGAAAGCAATATGTGGCTGCAATTTTTTTAACTCGGTCAATGTTCTCTAAGGTGGGGAAGTGTGTGTCAACATCTGTTTTGGTGGTGGTGTTTGAACAGCACGTTGAGGCTGCGATGCAGCTGCACGCCAGTGCTGGGTACTGGGAAGTGCCATCCAGGCAGCCTGGCTCTGCTGCTGAATCATGTTTGCAGGGCACGCTTTCGTTATTTTATGGCTTGTCACACTGATATTGCACTTCTGCCTTTTGCAGTTTGACGATCACCTAATTAGTCCCAAGGAGTTTGTCCACTTGGCGGGCAAGTCAACGCTGAAGGATTGGAAGCGGGCGATCCGGATGAACGGGATCATGCTCCGGTTAGTCTCTTTGTTTGTATCTGCAGAGCAACAGTGGAGACGATGACTTTCTGGGGTATTATGGTGGGATGGGACAGAGCCTTTGGCATGGTTCTTTTGCTGCTGGGAGAACAAATGTGCCACTGAACGTTTGTCTTAATAACAACCTGACCCCAAATGTGGTCTGCCCAATGGCTTTGCTTTATCCTTGTGCCTAGGGAATAATTTGGGGCAAGAAATGCTTCCCTGGTCTTTTTAGGACTTGAACCATGCTGAGTTCCCAGCTGGCATAAGGTCATTGAAAACTTTAATGTCCAGTGGTGGTTGGGTCGTGCTGTCTACAGGTTCTCAGTGTGACCTACCAAATGGAAGTCTGGTCATGAACTGATGCTCCCATTGCAGTAGGTCTGCTTTATATCACTTTTTTTTTTCCCCTGCCAAGGACTTATTTAAAGCTCATTTATGCAAGCATTTCTCTTTTCTAGTCTTAACTACAGTAATTTAATTCTTCTATGGTCGTCTTGAACACCAGGCTGAGACTGTGATTTAATTAAAGTCTGTCTCTGCCTGTAGGCACGATAAAAACGCATCACCTCTTTCTCCAGGAACTGTCAGTGATTTTGTACTCTTTTCACAGGGTGACATTGCGTTTGCCTGTATTCTTCTGCTTCAATGCAGGAGTCGCCCGTATTCCTTCTAAGCAGCTGTTTACTCCACGTAGATTTTGCATAATAGGCTTATGGCAAGGCAGGTCTTTCAAGGAAAAAAAAACTTCACAAGGAATGTGTGAAGGCAAGCCCAGCAGCCCATGGGAGCAAGCCTTAGGAAGCTCAGGTTGTTGTTGGCCAGGAAAGCCTGGGGATGCTGTGGGGACAGCTTGCTTAGACGGGAAGATCACATGTGCCAATGTTGCAACCTCCTTTGCTTAAGCTGAGAGACCTTATTTTAGTTTATAAATAGGGTTATGTCCCGCCTCTTTATGAGGTGTAGAGTCAAAAAGGGAACGAAGAGACTTCTTACTGTCTCAGTCTTGGATTGAGATTTCAGCTGACCCTTCTAGAAGCTGCAGGTGTGCATGGGGGGAAGGTGCTGGTGGGACTGGACTGGGACCTTCTCGTCGTCTTCCTCCCTCAACAACCCAGGAGTTCATCAGACCCAGTGAGGGTTCCTAGTTTAAATTACAGACCCCCATGCAGAAAAGCCTGCTTAGAGAGGTTTGTGGCTCCTGCCAGCTCTGGAGCCTGGTTTGAGTGGGGAAGTGAGTGCTCCCCAGTGGTCTTTAACCATTTGTGGTCCGGAGAAGCCCCTAGTGCCATTTGATCTGGCAGGAGGATGCAGGACATGGCAGGGAAGTCATCAGAAAGCGAATCTGTTCCAGTTCTTTACTGCAGCTACAGCACGATGTGCTTGATGGGCTCTTTCCTCCCCATCCCAGCCTCCCAAAACACTTTACCACCACTGGAGTATCGTGTAGTTGTTGGATTTGTGCGTGTGGCCAGTACAGAGCAGGGTGTAGATGCTGTTTTAATTAACTCTTAGTTAATACTGCCTCTAAGGTCAGGGCACAGGGGGACTTGTGAAGGGACGTTCTGACTGTTGCCTCTGCCCGATCTCCTGGCTTTTGCTTTTCATCTGGGACTTTGAGAAGTTTGGGGGTGAAGGCTGCCAGGAGCTGCATCTCTGCTCCTGCTGACCTGCGCGTCCCCGTGCTTGCTCTCTGTCTTGCAGGAAGATCATGGACTCGGGAGAGCTGGATTTCTACCAGCACACGAAGGTCTGTTCCAACACCTGCCGGAGCACCAAAATCGACCTGACTGGAGCCAGGGTGTCCTTGACCAGCCAGACATCAACAGAGTACATCCCTCTCACTCCCGCTTCTGCGGATGGTACGTCCAGCCATTCCTCGCACCCTAAGCAGGGGCTTTGAAGCATTAAAGCATAACAAATGCCGCATAACCAATGCCCCTTACCGTTGGGCCTCTTTTTTTTTTTTTTTCTTCCTCCACTTTGCCGGGTTTTTTTTATCCTCTGCTTTCTCTCCCTGCTGTGTTGCAGGACTCCCCATAGCAGAGCGAGGCAGAGTCGTTCTTAGAGCATCTTGGCCGAGATGCAGTAACTCGCCTAGTTGCTGTGTAACACTGCGTGAGCGGAGAGCCGCCCTTCTGGCCTCCTGCCTTACCCCAAACTGTGTAGCTGAAGCAGAAGACTGCAATTAATCTGTAAGAAAACAGAAGTTATCACTCAAGGAAGTTCCCTTCTGTCCTTGCTGCTGGTCGGGCACTGTGTCCGTAGTGCTCATCCCAGGAGGCAGGGATCAGCTCGGCTTCTGCTGCGCAGGGTGACAGGGTAGGGGGCCCTCCTCCCCCCCGGCTCTGCCCTGGAATAATTTAGGGGTTTTCATTTAAGGCTCCCTGGCTGAATTATTATCACGTTTGTCTGATGAAAGATTAAAGAGAACTAAAGGATAAAACAGGGGTTTTATTTGCACTTTTGTATGTGGTTCATAAAACTGGATTTAAATGATGTTGTGGCCACATAGTTGTAGCCCTAAATTTGATTTGACCTATAATTACAGGCAACTGTTTTATTGGAAAGCTTTCTAATTTCTTTGTACTTCTGTATTTCTTAACTCCTTTTGCTTGTGAGACTTGACAGCCCCCAGAGAGTCCCACACCCCGAGCTGATGGTGTCTGTGGGAGCAGAGCAAGGACAGGGCGAGCCCCTTGGCCAGCTCTGCAGAGCGTCTTCAGCACCACAGCCTGGTGTTGTGATGGGGAAACCGATGCCAGTGCATGGTGCAGCCTGTCCGAGCCCTCCCGTTAAACGTGGACATCTGTTTGCTAACGAGGAGACTCTTCCCACACTGCTGGGCTGGGCTGGAATAACCAGAGAGCCCTGAAGGCTGCAGAGTAAAGGAGCAGAGTGATTGGATTTAATGGCAGCGGCTGAGTATTACAAACACTCTGCGTAGCACAGCGGGTCTCTGGCCGGATTCCCATTCATCCCGTGCCTGCGCACAGCTCGAATGACGCTGGTTCCCCCAGCTCTATGGTAACAAAACCGCTGAGATTTGGCAGAGCTGGAGGGAGCGAGCGAGCGAGCCCCCCCTGCATCCCTGCGCAGCCAGGGGATGCTCTCCCCTTCAAGGCTTTAGAAACCTTCCAGACATCCCAGTCCTGCCAACTGTAAACTGGGCAAAAAAGGATTGCCAAAAAAAAAAATCAGACTCTAAATCTGTTTGACTTCTGTCCTAAGCAGTACTAGTGCGTGTGCAGCGGGGAACAGGAGGGAAAGGCTGCTCTGGGGCATGTGTTCTTGTGCAAGGGTTGCAGAAGTAATCCCTGTGGTATTGCACTCAGATGTGGAAAAATAAGTACTGCTGGCACAGCAACTGTGCACGGCTTCACCATCCGCTTGGGCGTCTCTCTCCGTTCAGCTTTGAGAGCTACGTTCAAAAGTGGTCCTACGCGATGGAAAGGAGAAGTTGCAGAAATGCAGCAAGGGAGCGCTTCCCTTGGAAACACCCTGTGAAAATACAGAGAAAAATCAGGACTTGGATTTTTTTTCTTTTGTTTTTTGCTATTGGTTGCAGTGAACGGATCCCCAGCTACAATTACCATAGAAACATGCGAGGATTCCAGCGATTGGAGCACCAGTATCGGAGGTATGGCTTGGGATCCTGCCGGGCTCAGCGCGTCTGGGGCAGAGGATGGATGCAGGGAAAGCCGCTTGAGCCTCCACTGGGATTATTTGTTTGCCACTTACTCGCATATAGTGCCGTGTTGTATCCTGCCTGTGTGGGGTCTGACTGCAGCATCGTCTTGGGACGAATTGTTTCTAAGCACTAAAATGGTAAAGTGTCAGCCAAATGCTTGGTGTGGCTCTAGGGAGGGTGGAAAGAAATCAGAAGGGTCCTAAAAATCATTCTGGCTCCTCTGGTGTGCTCTGAGCAATGGGCTTTTCTGTAGCATCGGTGTCCTGTTTGTGTGACAGCGGATGGGGAAAACACGTCCTTTTTCCAGCTGTGCCCCTCCTTCGGGTACACGCTCTGCTGGGCTTTGCCCCAGCGCCCTCGGAGGGACTTCGCCCTCGCAGGGGCCAGACAGGGCACTCAGAGCAGATCACCATTAAAACCCCTCCAAGGATTTTGAGGTTCTCCCTTGCTTTCTCTTTCTCCAGATGACACCTTTGCTTTCTGGCGAGGCCTGAAGGACACAGGTCTCCTGGAAGACGTAATCCACGAGTTCCACCAGGAGCTAGTGGAGACCATGAAGGGCTTGCAGCAGCGAGCACAGGATCCCCTGCTGCAGCTCGGTGGTAAGGACCTGGGCACGGGTGCTCAGAGGCATCTCAGAAGGGCTTGTGGATTTTTTTTTTCCCCGTAGGGATATCTGGATGGCACTATAAGGACATAGTTCATCATAACTTTATCCCATTTCTGGCTGCTCCACGGGCAGGCTCTCAGCTGTGCTCAGGAATGCTTCAGGTGGCCTCAATTCTCCAATTCCCTGTGCCTGAGGCTTCCTATCTGCTGGCTCCGGGCGGGAACAAACACTCGGCTTGGGAACCGAGGTGGAATTTAGGCCATCGGAGTAATGATGCAGCAACCAGCTACTGTGCCAGCAGATTTCTTATCACCCCTGCTAAGCTGGAGAGGGCTGTTTATATGCTAGTGACCTCTTGCACTTTCTCATGACTTCTCCTGTCTTCTCCTCTTCCCCAGCCTCTTGTGTTACCCTCCCGCAGATTTTGGCTGTCTCAGCTGAATGTGTTCACTGTCGTATGGCTTTTTACCAAGCCATAAATAGTTTGTGTGGGGAATTTTGCTTTCTTCAAAGATCTGTGTCTTCTTTTTAAGATGCTGTTTTACTCAACAACGTAGTCCAGAACTTTGGTATGCTGGACCTCGTCAAGAAGGTCCTGGCCAGCCACAAGTGTCAGATGGATCGCTCGAGGGAGCAGTACACGCGGGATTTGGCAGGTATGCCCCCGGGACACGCCGGTGCTCCGGCACTGGCCATCACTGCCAGCGTGTTTTCTTTCTGTGCAAGAAAGTGGAGTTTGTGTTAAAGCTGGTGTGCACTAAACCAGCTCCGGGCATTGCTGCAGTCCCTGGGAAGCTTGTCCTGGGGCTGAGCCGAGTCTCCTCTCTCTCCAGCTCTGGAGCAGCAGTGTGATGAGCACCGCAAGCGGGCAAAAGAGCTGAAGCACAAATCGCAGCATCTCAACAACGTCCTGATGACCCTTACACCCGTCTCTGTCCCCACGCCTTTAAAACGTCCCAGGCTGACCAGGGCCACTTCTGGACCAGCTGCCATCACCTCCCAAGTCCTGTCCCAGCCAGCGCAGCTCGCCGTCACCCCCGGCGTGCCCATCTCCCAGCTCACCAGCCTCCCTCTCGGCAAAGTGGTCTCAGCCCTCCCATCCTCGGTGCTGGGGAAAAGCCCGTCCCAGCCTCCCGTCACCAACTCCCCGGCCTCCCCGCTGCTGGGAGGGTACACGGTACTGGCCTCCTCCGGCTCCACCTTCCCCGGCACGGTGGAGATCCACCCGGACGCTTCCAACCTGACGGTGCTGAGCACGGCCGCGGTCCAGGATGGCAGCACGGTGGTGAAGGTGGTGAGCCCCTTCCAGCTGCTGACGCTGCCGGGACTCGGCACGGCCATCCAGAACGTGACACAAATGGTTCCCGGTGGGAGCACGGTCGTGACCATCCCATCAGGTGCCACCGAG